TTTGGCGGTGACGCTCACGGCCGACTGTGCGGGGACCAGGCGGGTTTCGGCCTGGCCTCCTGCAGGAGCCGCCAGGTCGCTCCCTGGGTTCCTGCTGCACAGCACCGCTGCTCCGGATGCTGCTCCGTGCCCGTCGTGGCCCTCCCCTTCGCTCACCGGGGTCTCATTCCCGGGAGCCCAGTGCACCCCGAGGGGCTCTGTGACCCCGCGGGCGGCTCATCCCACTCCGCTCCTATCCCAGCACGGCCACTCCGGGGGGTCAGACAGATCTGCTCAAGGTCCCGGGAATGTTTCATCACCCCTAGACCCTGCGGTGGGCGAGTAGCAGAGCCCGTAACGTCCCCTTTCCCCTAAAGGGAGGCGTCGGGCAGAATCCTCTTGGCCATGGGTGCCAGGGGGGCAGCGCGGGGCGGTCAACACGGGCACCGCGGCTCCACGGGACACACGCCAGGGCTGTCCCCGCGGCCATCAACCCACACACACAACGGGTGGGAAAAACATCACGCGGGGGAAAAAAAAAAAAAAAAAAAAAAAAAAAAAAAGAGAGAAGTAGGTACTGGCACACAGGGAACGCGCCCTTGCAAACAGATGCTCTGGGGAGAGTTTCACCAAGCTCTGAGGAGTAACCGGTGCACGTTATCCTCCCCGCTCACAGGGACACACAGGAAGAAAGGAGCAGGTGCTCCTGGTGACACTGGCAACATCGCAAGTGCTTTGGCAGGACACCGAGCAGGCGGCACAGGGACCAGCCATGGGCAGCAAACGTCATCCTCAGCTACAGGTTTCACTGCAGCATAGGAACAGAATTCACTTTTCCCAACACAACTATCTCTAGTTACAGAAATGCATTTGGAGACAATCAAACCTCTCACAGGAAGTGGCCCATATTGACATTTTCAGCCCCAAATCATTTCAGAGGATCTGCCACCAACAGCTCAGCAGGGGGAAGAGGCTTCAAAACATTCCAGGCAAGAGCCTGGGAGCTCCTCCGTACGAGTTGCCTCGTTTAGCAATTCCAGCTAATACCCTATTAAGATAATAAACATAATTGCATTGGAACTAACATCTCAAGTAATTTGCTTTCAGACACTTGGCCTTTTAGCATTGAGGGAAAAGAGGAGCCCTTCATGCTCCGCATCAGGCGGAAGGGCCGCACACGGCCCTGGGCTGCAGCCAGGCTTCCCCAGCGCCCGCCAGGCCACAGCGGCGGGGAAACACTGCGAGTTATCAGCTAAAATAACAGCTTGATGGCTAACAATAAAGCTGAAATAATAGCTTGATGACCGTATAATGGATATTAGTCTATAACATAGTTAGACAAGAGAGTCACACTCCCCATACAGGCCTCCCTCAGCTCTGCAGGGCAGCATTCACAAATCTGATTTTCACGGCAAGGTCACCCAGAGGTAGGAAAGATCAAAGAGGCTTCATGGCTTCATCCTAACTGAAACGCTGACAAGGGGACGGGGCCTGCGCTGTCCCCCTCACTGCGGTGCCTTCCAGCGCTCTGTCCTCCCCAGGCTGCGGCGGGCAGCAGCTTCGTCACTGGTGTGGGGAGAAGCCCCACTGCAAACAACCCGGATCGTCCCCCCAAGGCACCTTCCTCCTCCTGCTCCGCTGGGCCCTGCGAGGCCCTGCGCGAGGGAAGGGCCTGAGGGGACAGCACAACCCCTGGGAGCTACAGCAGCACCCACACAGGCTGCTTCGAACCCACCTCACGCTTGGGCTCTCCCCAGGAGCTCCCTTCGCCCTGTTCATACCTGTGTGGGACACTGAGGTGATGGGAGATTCTCCGAGGCCACCTCCCGAGCAGAAGGGCACAGGCAACCCAACACCTTCAAAACCAGCCCCCTTTCAGCCCCACAGACACAGCTGCAGCCCCTCAGCCCCCTTTAACCCTGTTTAACTCCCATTTAACCTTCCACAGCTGTGGGGGGCTCTGTGTGTGTGGCCCAGGGGCCTTTGGCACCGTGAGCCCCTCTGAGGCCGCACACACGAGCGCGGCAGTGACGGGAGGGCCTTGGCAGGGGATTTCCTGCCACCTGTGCCCATGCCCAAGGCCGTCCTGCCCCTAGGACGTAAATGTGAGCCCCGAGGCTGAGCTGGTTGAAGGAGGGCACCGGAGGCCGTGCCAGGAGGAGCCGGGGGCTTTCAAGCGCGTTGCCTGCGGGATCCTCCCCGGTGTCGGGTCAGTGCAACCCGCTCCCTGCGGCGCTGTGGACGTGCAGCGGCTCCTCCTGCGCGGGCGGTCGGTCCAAAAGATGCACCAAGCACCTTGCCAAGGGAAAGAACTCGCCTTCCTGAAGGATTAAGCAAGACAAAATAGAAACGTATCCATGTTTTTATAACGTGGGCGCCGGCAACTGTGAAACCAGCAGTTAAATGGAGTGTAACCTGACAGCTTCATACCAAATAGCTGTAGCTTGAGAACACTGATTAGGACACGGGGAGAGGAAGGGATTCTCCGTGGAACGAAGCAAGGTTATCCAGACCAGGCTTGTTGCAGTTGTACGGGACCATTTAAACTTCAGGCTTGGCAAGGACTGGCTTCCTGGGACGGTTCGGAAAGGAGGCCTAGGGAGGCCGAAACCCGAGGTGTGTCCGGCTGTGTGGGAGGCTGTGCGTGGAGGGGTGGTGCATGGAAAGGTAGTTCCACAAACAGCTGCCATAAGGCGTGACAAACAACCCTCTAAATTAGCAACAATCAACAGCACAAAGGCCGAGCGAGAGAAAAACAGCTCCACAAATGAATACAGGGCACTCGGTGTCACGCAACCCCGTCACCCTGCGTGACCCGCAGCCGACCGACCGCGCGTGCGGCGCGAAGCGGGGACGGGCACCGCGCGGCATCGGGCGTTGGAGGCTCCGGCCCAGCGAGGGCTCAGAGGACGGTGCTGGATGAACCACCCACCGCCACGTGTTTGGGAAAGACACAGAAAATCTTCAATAAGAGGAGGCAGGGAGCAAATACGGCATCTCCTGCGGGTCATGGTGTGCCCATGAACTGAAAACAAGACTGAAGGGAAAATGCCATTTGGATGTACATTTACAGCCTCAATCCCACGTCTGGCATAGATGAGCTGCAGCTCAGTCCATACAACGTGCTTACTTGAAATTCTTCAACAGAATATTTATATTTGATTAAAGATTCCATGAAATACAGAATTCCCTCAATGTCTTGAAAGCAGCACAGCTCCAACCCAACCCTTCTGCGATTCTGTAAGTGGCACAAGAGGTCGACCCAGTGGGACCAGTGCTGTGCACGCTCTGCACCCCCCGTTATTTGCCAGTGCTGTCAAATAAAATGAGTTATTTCCTGCCACAGACCGTCACGTTCCTCTCCTTGCAGTCTTATGCTCAGCCATTTGTAAGCTGCTGCCATACAATTCCTTCATAATGGAACTGTTATTTATATAACATAATTGTGGAGGTATTTTGGCAATAAACTACTGACTCATACGATATTTACCAGTGTTCACTACGTTTCATGAGAAATTAGGAAAAGTAGAGTAGGTCAAGTGCATCTGCAAAACATAACCTGCAATGTGTTTTCAAGGGGCATAAAGCAAGAAAAGACTAAACATAAGGAAAGAATATATCCATAAACCAGAGCATAAACCAGAGCAAATGTCAACTTGATTTTTTGATGCATATCTGAAAGAGGAGGTAGCTAGGGAAAATTATGGTAAAAGCAACAGTAAACTTCATTACTATTCCATATTACAACAGTGCTTAAAGGGATGTGAATGGGATGAGGTGATGGGGTGAGTTTAACCCAGATGACTGTAGATAAGCCAAGTAGAATCACAGGAAAGACCCACCTAGTTCAGAGCCACCCAATAGAAATTACATGTTCTGTGTTAATAAACAAGTGGTCACAAACACTTTGAGGAGGGGTTGAGCTTCCTGGCACTGTCACCCATCAACTTCTGCTCCTGGCGTAAGAACCAGGGCTTGGAAAGGCACATGGAAAGCGGGTGCTCCCTGCTGCGGTGACACCCACTGCCTCGCTATAAATACAGAGCAGGCAGGGGGCAAGTTGGAGCTATGATTCCAGACCAACCGTAAAAGCAGCTTTGAGTAGTGCCCTGATGCCCTTCCCCACTGCCACCATGAGCTGTGGCTCCAAGCAGCCCTCCAAGAGCTGCCTGCGCAGCAGCGGCGGCGGCGCCGGCTCCTCCCGTAGGGGGGACGGGCGGCGGGCGGTACGGGGGCTTCCTGGGCTACGGTGGCTACGGACGGAGGATGAGCGCAGGCTGCTACGGAGGGGGGATGAGCGGTGGTGGCTACGGAGCGGGAATGGGCTCCGCTGCCGCGGGAGGAGGCTTTGGAGCAGGCGGCAGTGGCTTTGGTGGTGGTTATGGAGGCAGCTTTGGTGGAGGCCAGGGTGGTTTCAGCGGCGGTGGCTTCGGTGGAGGGAGCTTGGGGCTCCTCTCCAGCGACGAGAAGCTGACCATGCAGAACCTCAATGACCGCCTGGCTTCCTACATGGATACGGTCAGAAATTTAGAAAGGGAAAATGCTCAGCTTGAGCAGTTAATCAGGGAGTGGTACCAGAAGCAAGGTCCTACTGGTACCAAGGACTACAGCCACTACTACGAAACCATTGAAGGCCTTCAGAATCAGGTAGGATGCTCCCAGAGAAGCGTTGAGCATCGGAGGGTGTTGCTGTGATCGAGGAAAGCTTTGGGAATCATGGAATCCTGCCTGTGCCCACACACCCCGGGGGACAGGCC